TATGGCCGCTTCAACTTGGGTTCGCGAATTCGTAGGAAAAGAGCCCCAAGTACTGTGAGGAAGAAGAACGAGTATTCCCCTAGTCCATTAAAAGTAAGCAAAGCGCGAAAATTGCCAAATAGGATGTAGATCGTCGAAAGAATAGCCGACAGCAGAATTGCGTTTATTGGAGCATCAGATTTAGATGCGCTATGAGACTGTTCGACTTCGGCACTGGTCTCATCGATTCCATCTGCGTCGGATGCCAGACCAACGCGGCCGACTACGGCGAGAAGGCCGGGCAGCCAGCCAGAATTTGAAGCGGCGATCGTCATTCTTGCAGCAACGAAAGAGTTACCGAGCAAGGAGCCAGCTACAACCAAACATATCAGTGCTGCAGCCACGATGCCCACTGCAGAACCTAAGAGACGAGTTATGGCGGTCTGTCAAAGTGTAAGTATGGCGTAGAATGCCGTGAAGCCATCAGGGCACTCACCACTGCCACACTGTCTGTGGTAGAAACAACATCCCACGGAAGAAGAATGTAATATGCCGCATTTGCTGTCAAAAAGCAAAATATTATCGTGGGGATAGCGGTGTTAAGAGCCAGCGGCAGCTGACGAGCCGGCGCCGAAAGCTCGGCTGAGATGTATATCGCCTGAATGATGTTACAAAGGAATCTTTCGAGTGAACTCTTGCATACCTTGTCCCAGCCACTATAGGCCCACAATGCTCCATACAAGCCAGCAGAGTAATGTCCAAAGGTCTCCCATTGAGTCATTTTACGCCAATCGGTTTTGCTACCGTCGGGGTTCAACGTTTCTCTAAACCGAAACCAGGATTTCCTGTACCAGTCTCGACCGCCGATATCTTCTCTATTTGGATTGCTCAACTGTATGAATACCACAACAATTCCGGCTATAACAACACCGAGGATACTGAGAAACTTCGTCGTGACGAAAAGGTTATTCAGCCGGGTGCTGGCTTTTGTACTAATGGAATTAGCGGCACTGATGATAAGCAGGATGAGAACCGATAAAAGTTTATGCTCGATTCTATCTGCACGATCCGTGACACCGATTGCCGAAAATATGGTCTCAACAAACACAATGCTGAGGATTGCCAGTGTGGCAGGCATTACGGCCACAATCCATGTCCAGCCAGCGAGGAAGCCGAAGACATCCCCAAATATATAGCGGAGGTAAGGCTGCACACCACCTAGAAGCATGGGATGTATTAATTAGCAAAAACTTTCTATAATCTAATGGTCAACGAACCTTCCCCGGGAATGGCGGTGCCCAATTCTGTCATCGTGCTTGCTCCCGTCCAAGCAAGGACGCCACCAACGAGCCATACAATCAACGCAGCACCTGGAGAAGGGACATTCGTATCAATTGAGCCAGGAGATGTAAAGATGCCACTCCCAATCACAATACTAATGACAATCGCGAAAGCGTTTATGGTTCCCAGATTGCGAGCGAAAGTTCCTCGTTCTTGAGTGGCGGGCGATGCACCCTCGGCATCCTCGCGCTGACCCTGCAGCAACGGGCGCCGTGTCTCGTCGTCAGGCTCGTCATGTTGGGATGCCATTTTACCTCAAATTTCTAGCACCTTGAGATATGAAAAGGACAACAAATGCAAGTGGAGTCAGACGCAAAGACGGCCATCTTACCCGAACATCACGCAATGAACCCACGTGACTCGTGCTAGGCGTACGATTATCAGTGGGGGTAAACCTAATACTTCAAGGCTCCCGACAGGCTTACGTCGGTGTTTTTGGTAAATGAGGTACCTGCATAGACCAGAAAGTAGCGATACTATCCTGACAACTACTGCACATAAAGTACGGTCGGGACATAATTCATTCATTCATGAGACGGTCATGTGGCTTTGGCCATTCATTCTTCCGGACAGAAAAGTCTTTAAAACAATCGATTTATTTTCATTTCATGTCTTATACTAAGATGTTCTCAGCCATTCTCAAGCGGCAGCTTTAGTCGCCACGCTCAGGGGCTTGCTATCCGGAAGAGCGTAACCGTAATTGCGGCTAGTGATCATAGTCCTCCATTCACCCGCATTAACGGGCTCGTATTTCGCTTTCTCGCCCTCTTCAACGAGAGGAGCAATCAATGTGGCAGGGTCGGGGTGGACGAAGAAGGCTGTAGAAAAGCGAGCAGGTAGCATCCCATCGGGCCCAATCTGTTGGCGTTGTTCCGGAGTGCATTGAGGTGCCATTACACGATGGCGAGTCGACTTGAGTTTATCGTTAGAGAGACGCTGTAGTAGGTCCGCTACATTGATAACGCAAGTGCCACGGATAGGTGTCGCTGGTCGAAACTCGCCAGTGTGAAAGGGGTCCACTTCCAAACCGCCGACCTGATCTTGAAATAGGAGGGTGCACAGCCCGTAGTCTGTGTGCGGGTTGATACGGTAATTGCCAGGCTTCTCCAATGTCGATGATGGAATGGCCATGTATCTGAGTAATCGAAGCTGGGGATCCGCTTTCGCCAGCTTGTCGTCCCAGAAGGTTTCTGGAATACCCAGAACCATGCAAAGAGCTCTCAGGACTTCTGAAGCGAGATTGAAGCATTTCTGATTCGGAATTAGTGCCGTTGTCTACATTTCTTGATCATACTCGAGTTCAAGGATACGCACCTGAAAAAAGCCATCGGCAAATTCGCGGAAATGACTTTCACTCCCTGCTGGAGGACAGAGTTCGTTCGAGAATCTACGATGCTCGTAACATTCTTTCCAGCTGCGCCCTCCATTAGGGTCGCTTGATTCAGCACCGTTTGAAGTATATCCTTGGCTATATGCGGCGCTAGTCACTTTATACCGGAGCTTTTCGTCTAAAGATTGATCCTCAAAGAAACGCTTGCTCTATGTCGGCAGTTAGCTATCTGTAACATTTATACGAGGCACTTTGCACCTACGTAGGCAAACATTTCATCAATTTCCTCCTCCGAAATACCAAAATCCTTCAGATATACCCATCCGTATGTGTGGAAAGCATCATAAAGTTCTTTGGCAACTGCTGCTCTGGCTTCTAGACTCCCTGTTAGGAAGGGTTGGAAGGATACGATTGGAAACGCAGACTCCTTTACAGCCATCTTGTTGTGCTCGGCAGATAGGAATGTTTGGTAAAGTTAGTTGAAAGGGTTTGAATGACTCTGAGGCTGTAAAGGCCGGCTCAATATCCAAATAAGAACGTTCGAGAGTGCAATAAATATGCTAGGACACTTAATCGTGATCATCTGAATAGCCGATGATGAAACCCTCTTCGGTGAAGCGACGAATTCAAAGACGGCTCAGAAGAATCAATAGAGCTGCAGTGTATTCGTCGTTCGGCAGCCGAGCGATTGAAAGATAGCTGGCTGGTATCAGTTCTTGAAGCACGTTTGATAGGTCTGTCTCAAAGAGAGGGGGATGCACATGCGCCGAAATCCGAAGTGAAGTTATGGGCATCTCCGAGTTGTCAGCTACGTTTCTGGAATTCCTCTTGCAAGCATCTTGTCTTAGAGACAACCTTGGAAGTATTCCTTGTCAAATACGACCGTCAGAGCCAGATATGTTACTTGCGGGGCCTGAAGGGGCTGCTTATCTCGTGGTCCTGTTAGTGCCTATCTCCCAGGTTCCCGCTAAGTTCATCTCTGCCAAAATTGCGGGTCGGGAGGTCCCCATCATACTGGGAATAACTGCTTGGCGAACTAGTGAAGTTAGGCCAAAGATAACAAGAACACCATCCTGCCAAGCTGAGTACACGAAGATAAGCCTGTAAGTGCGTGTTTGATTTGCTATATCAAGACGCAAATATCTGCGAATTCAATCTTCAATTACACCCAATCCAAGTCTCCATCACCAAACAGCTTTTCACACAACATTTTGTATTACTGTTCTGATGCAATCTTATTAGCTCAGGATGCAGGTCATTGAGGGTCAAACTCCGTCGACTGGTGGGAACACCCCCACGCCAGCCGCAGGGTCTAAGAAAGGGGACGAGAGAGCAGACATATCTCGTGTTCCCTCTGAAACAGTCTTGACTGAGCCTCGTACTGGGACAACTTGGTTTCAGAGAACTCTGGCAAAGATAGAGCTGCGAAAAACAGAGTCGGATAATTTCAACCAGTCTTTTACAAACTATGTACGTTTTAGACTACAGTCATGAAGTCTTAGGGAAAGGCGAGAAATCCAAGATTGAGATTTTGCTGATAAATGATTTATAGGATCTGCTTCCAGTGCCCGCAGAAAAACGAACTTGGGGGAAGTGGACATGTATGATATAATATACGACACGGCCTGAAACTATCTTCACTAACCACCGTCCGGCAGACTCCCTTTTTTGGTTCGGCGAATGTGCGAGCGTGACATCTTGGACAGTGGCTGCAACGGGAATCCAGGGTGGTCTGGTATGAATTACGATAACACTTGACGGGCTTTTTGCTAACTTCACCGACATCAGTCCTGGTGGGAATCCTGGATTTGTGTCGTCCTGGGCCATCTGATTGTGGCCGTGCCCATGGTGATGACTGGGCGTCCAGGAGCTGCTTATCACTGCCCCTATCCAATCATCTCCCGAGCCAGCTTCGGAGTTTGGGGCAGTTACTGGCCAGTCCTAAACAGAAATATCATGACGATTATTTGGACTGGAGTGCAAGGGGTGACAACGTAAGCGAATGTTTTGAAGAACAAACAACCCTTGAGGCTGACAGGTTGGTAAACAGGGGTAATTGCATATACGTTATGCTTCATGCGATTTTCCCTAGTATTGCTCGAGTCCCCAACCCATTTCCTTCGGATGTCACAATGACCGGTGGAAGGCTTATTGGCTATTCGCTTGGATGGCTCATCTGTCTTTCATTCTGTTTTATACGTCCTCAGAAATTGTCAGCTCTCATTCTAGCTAAAAGTGGAATAATGATTATTTGTTTGATCACTTTCTTTGCCTGGTGAGAACTCCTCCGAGTAATGTCGAAGACCCGGAAACAACAGGCTAACAACAAATAGGAGTCTATCAAAAGCGCATGGGATCGGACCTATCATATATCAAGGCGCCAGTATTCCGGCTGGTTCGTCTCATGCTTGGGTACATGCTCGACTGATTCTTTCTCTTACCCTAGAACCAAGAAGCTGAACTTTGATCTCTACGCAGGTGTTTCTCAATAATCTCTTCGTTCAAGCCGGTAATGTAAGATTATCTTTAATACCCTTATTTTCTTTTCGGATTCATCTCAGCGATGTCCCGTTTCAATTTCGATCATTAATTAAGAATTGCCCATCAAGAACCCTGCATTTATGTGTTTAAAGTCCTTACAAATACACCGCTAACTTCAACATCCATAGATGGCAACATTCGCGACGAACAACGCGGATATTGCCCGATACGCTCGCCGTCCAAATGATGCACTATGGACCCAGCTGATTGGAATGCCTCTCGCATTTGGTGTCGTGGCATTCTTCGGAATCTTTGTCACGAGTGCTTCAAAGCCTCTGTTTGGGAAGGTAAGACACCTAGTAATAGAGACCTCCGCATGGCGCACCTGCGTGAGACATGCTCCAGGCAAAATCTAATCAAATTTGTGCAAAGGTGCTTTGGGATCCTACCGCTATCCTCGACGGATTCCTGACCGAGTCATATGATTCCAAAACTAGAGCGGGTGTGTTTTTCATTGCATTGGGATTCTCTTTCGCTCAGTGCACGACCATGATCTTCGCCAACATTATCGCTGCTGGAAATGATACCTCCGCAATGCTGCCCAGGTTTATAAACTACCGCCGAGGTGCAATAATCTGTTTGATTCTTGCATTCGCTATCACACCATGGAATCTTACAAAAACATCATTCTCTTTCACAAGCTACCTTGGAAGGTGAGCAATATAGTCCTAGTTTATTTCCAAACTCAAAGGATGAGTCTGGCTGACGGATTGAATTAGTTACCAGGTATTCCTTGCTAGCATCATCGGCGTTGTCATCAGCGACTACTACTTCGTCCGGCGTGGCAAGCTTGACCTTGTGGCAATATTCTCACTTGAGCGTGGCGCGCCTTATTACTATACCAAAGGTTGGAACTGGCGTGCGTATGCCGCTTATGTTATTGGTATTGTGCCTGTCTTTCCTGGGTTTCTAAAAGCTGTTGGGGTGCAAAGCATCCCAATCGGTGCCAAGCAGTTATATACCTTCTCGCTGCCTGTGGGTATCATTGTTGCTGGTGTGACCTACTGGGGTCTAAACGTTGCATTTCCATCTGCTGGTGGACCTTTTGACAAGTGGTCAGAGCCTGCCCCTGGCGAGGTGGACGAGATTGCGCATGGTACCAATGAGAGACTTGACAAAGATCCGGAGAAGAACATTGCCTAGACTCAAACGAGTCAATACGTCAATGTTCCTCGGTTTGTTCTAATGAACAACCGGAATTTGCTTTGTGTAGATTTCGGAAGATTCTTACTAGTCTGTAGAGACACTTCGCTGCTGAGGTGTCTTAAATTTGAAGAGTTATCTCGATGTTTTGATCGGCGCAAGAGAATGGATGACAAGTAGAAATTGACATGGAATGGTGGAGCTATTGAGCAGCGATCTATAATACACTCATCTGGTTCCTCTAGGTGTCAATAATTAGTACGTTGGAATGACACTGGATCCGCCTTAGACACTATTCTGAGCCGGTCTCTACATATAATTGAGCCTAAGTTGAATGCTCGGGAGAAGTGGTTTATCCTTCTGTCTTGCTGCTAGCCGAACTGCAACGCCTAAGCAAGCTACAACAATAACAATGCCTAACGCAGCTAGATTTAGGATGAAGTAATCTGCAAAGATCACTTGCATTGCATGCCGCATGCTAGACATGATCGAAAAACAAAAACTCCGCATAATGATCCCACCATCAACGAGCAAGAAGCAACTTACGGACTTGGCCGCTTTCCTGATCGCCAATAGCTTATCATACACGTACCCTAGTTGTAGCCATACACTTGCATCTTATCATTTAATCTTAGAGATATCTATCAGCTTTGGGTCTATGGCAATCGTTACTAACCCGCGTATCGTGGTTGGCTGAGCCTGCTCCGTCGTCGGTGAAAGAGCGACGTCCCCACCTCCGACCGCTGCATCGCCGACGACGCGTATGCAATAAGAGGGTTGTCATCTCAATGCACGAAAGTTCCAATTCCTTCATAACGATTATCAGGTTCTGGTCAATGAGATAATGACGAGACTATATCGCTGATGTCCGTCCTATAAATAAGCTGCCGGAACCACTAGAAGCCCCATTTCAGCTGTGCATCGGTCCAAGCCATGACATAACCGCCCTATTGTTCCTAGAAACCTCACCATAGGAATTCATGGCCTGCTGAATACTAGGTTGAGTCCCATCAAATGTCTCACAAGTACTCCTAAATCCATTCTGAAGAGTTCAAATACATTCTGAGAAAGGAGAGAAATACTGTCGTTTAGTAATAGAGGAGCTATTTTTGACCCATGTCGTGTTCAGAACTCAGGTGAAATAGTACGCAGCCTAAGGAACTGCGGATTATTGATTATCCTTACATAAGGTAGTATAGATTCATTTGCGCGTTGTAACGACGTTTCTACTTACTTGAGCTAGAAGCGTCCCATGATGAGGTGAAAACGAATTGGAGTTGACTATTGGGGCGGCTAGTGAACCAAGTCGCAGATCTCTCGTACTGTCCTGATTTGTGGAAGTTTGCCAGGAACAGGCCTGTCGCATTGACATGTTAGGGTCTTTTAGCAAGCATCCACCCCGCAACTGCGGGGTTAAGAGCCATTGCCCAGGATATACTGCAACTTGGAATGCTACGATCTCGGTCCGAGCCGGGGCAGTTTTTAATGGGCTTTGATTTTCTTAGAGAATAGGTATAGAATGCCTACATAGATGCGAGAATTCTTACAGTCGCAGAGTCGATGCATCACTGGCGGTGACAAGCCGCCGTTGAAAACATGGTCGTTTTGAAGGGACTTCGTCACACCATGGATTTCTGGCACTTAGTGGCGTAATCTCTGAGACTGCCAGCATTTTTGTCTGATATACATCTAGGTTTGAGGCAGTGACTGCAGGTCAATTGTGGTGTAAAATGCAGTTACTGTTTCCCGCAATATCTTCTTAAGTCTTGCCATTATTTGCTAAGTAGCGACAATCTCGAAGGAAATTCATTTGAAGAGACGACAATGAGGCATTGAACTCGCATGAGAGGAAGGAAACCGCCTTGTATTCAACGAGGCCCGCTCGGCCCGCCGCGGACCGTGACTGTGTCCTCGTCAAGCATCTCGGACACTTCGGCCGACATTGTGGCCCTTTTCGGGCCTCCATGGGCAGCTGATCTACAGCGAAATCATTTCACTAGACTGCTAATTTCACAAGACTTCTCTCGAAAATATGTTTGAGATTCGTGTGGTGAACATGACCGACTATCTGCAAGGAACAAAAGAATCACATTGTTCCGCTCAGATTGTAGCTCAAGTTTAGATTTGAACAACTTCTTCTGTAGTTCACAGAGAAACTTTTCGAAACCTCAGTTTGAAAATACTACGTCAGTCGTAATGATTACATTCTTCTACTTGTTTCTGGTAGCGATTTCTGCCATTCCCTTCATTGGTCGAGGCGAAGCAGTTACGCTTCAACAATATCATCCTATTATTGCAAGGACACCAACCAATGTCACTTCAATCGCAAATGTCACACTTGTTGATCCATCGGTCCTCAAAGTAAATCCGATCGTCGATGCCAACTTGTCATCGGTGGTCTTCCCCGTGTTTCCCGGAGTCGACCTGACTTATCTCGCTCCAGTCTTCTCCACGGCAGATGGCGTGGTAGCCTCGCCAGAGCCAGGAACTGTGGTCGACCTGCGAAACGGTGTGACCTACCTTTTGATTTACAATGGCGATGTAGTGGCGACTTGGGAGTTCAAAGCAGAAGAGATGCGCAGTCCTGTTCTTCCGGGACTGTATGCAGATCCGAATATCGCAATCTTCAACCAGACATATTATATATATGCCACAACAGACGGCTTTTCAGGTTGGGGTGGAAATGCCTTCTATGTCTGGAAGTCACCGGATCTGGAATCTTGGACCAGGAGCTCTGGGCCTTTCTTGGTATTGAATGGGACAAGCGGATCGGTTCCTTGGGCAACAGGCAACGCGTGAGTCCCCCCTTCTAAACAGACTCGCACAGATTCCAATGATGTGACATGACTATGAAGCGCAATTGGTCAATCTTGGAATGTGCATCTCACAGGGGCTTCTTAGAGGAGGCAGATGTGTACTCTTCTGAAAGCAATACAGACGCTAACCTCTGTCCGTAGATGGGCTCCTACGATCGCCAGCCGCGACGGTAATTATTATTTTTACTTTAGCGGGAATAACCCGACCTACAATCGTAAAACAATAGGAGCCGCTGTTGCAAATTCGCCGGAAGGACCATTCACCGCCCAACCAACTGCAAGTGAGCAATAATTCCTTCCACTATAACAATTATCATGAGCAAAGATGCAGTCTTAAAGATAATATTTACTCCCGACACGCGTTTATCGAGGTTTTCACTTATTCTTTGTTCTAGGCTGCTAATTTCACTCACTTAGTGATACTTAATAATGAGGCGATCACCACAAACCAAGCCATAGACCCAGCGGCATTTCAAGACCCTGTGACCGGCAGATACTATCTCTTCTGGGGTAACGGTAATCCCCTTTTCGCAGAATTTAACAATGACATGGTCTCGATCAATCAAAGCACGATAAGTACAATCACTGGTTTAACAGACTTCCGTGAAGGAATTTTCGTCAACTATCGTAAAGGGCTATATCATATCACATACTCAATTGATGACACAGGCTCAGAAAACTATCGTGTGGGGTACGCAACATCAGCCATTGTGGAAGGGCCGTGGACGTACCGTGGTGTAGTACTTCAGAAAGATCCTTCACAGGGAAGTCTGGCCACCGGCCATGACTCAATAGTCAATGTCCCCGGCACAGATGATTGGTATATCGCATATCATCGTTTTGCGATTCCCGGTGGCGACGGCACTCACCGCGAAACCACGATTGATCGTGTGTATTTTGATAGGGAGACAGGCTTCATGCGCCCTATCGTGCCAACTCTCTCAAGTGTTGGCCCAGAAATAATTCCTAAGCCATGTACAGATAGGAGAGCTACTTGAATACACTCTTGAAGGTAGCATTACTCCATGCAAAATTTCCTCACAGCCCTCATTCGTACTCTCAAACAGGCGGGGGGGAGGTGACCAAGTTCTATCCCAAATGCCGCTCTCGTAATAGTCTATCTTAGAGGAAAATCTTCAAACCTGGTCAAGAGAATATGGCTATACTATTGTGAACGAGATGAGTGATTGCACCAAGACATAATCCACTTCGAGAAAACTGTTAAGGAACTACCCATGTCAAGATACTAGGATGCCAAGTTTAGACAAGTTGCGCAGCTTAGCGAAACGCTTCAATCTCTTGGATCAATATGGCACCACTGGAGAAGAGAACTGGATAGCCCTGTTCCGAACTTTGACGGCAAACCGCACGCCTTTGTCTGGCAGGATCAACGACGAGTATGGGACAAAAGATTTTGCGCACATTGATGTCACCGAGTCGCAGGATGACGGTGCCAAAAAAAAGATATCCGAGGCTGCTTGGGCAAAAGTCTCATCACTGTTGGAAAACATTGTAGACGGAAAGGTCTTTTATATAACCGAGCATGGTTATCTTGGTTTTGCTGAGGAATCGTGCCAGAAAGGCGACGACGTGTACGTCTTCTGCGGTGGAGAAGTGCCATTCATTGTGAGACTAATCGGCGAGGGTCTTTTTGCATTCCATGGCGAAACGTATGTGCACGGCTTGATGGATGGCGAAGTCATGCAGTGGAAGACTTTGAAATTGGAGCGGCTCAATTTGAAATAGTTGTCTAACATCTTGACTGCAAGTACAGAATAGTCGTATCAACGTGCTGTAAAAGTGTACGGGTGACAAGTGGTTGGGCCTAATGCTTTAGCCACGAAACATGCCTTGCAATACGTCATGGTAACCAGGGCGCAGCGGTAACAAACGCTGACGTTAAACCGGAACCATGGTGTGTAACACGTGAGGCAAAACACAATGTCGATTAAGTATTTCCTCAGTCCGCCATATCGTGCACAAAGACTTTGCTTCCCCTATTTTAGTCATGATAATGAGGTCCGTTAGTTTACTACTCGACTGAAGCGATAGTATAACGGGGAACGAAGAGTGTAAAATAATATCAACAGAGGTGACGCCAGAATCCATTCTTTGAGGCAACAGGGAGAAGCTGCCGCGTTGTGCGAATAATACAGTGGTGTCACTAGCACGTGCGGGGTACATAATCTCGACTACATTCCATTTTCACATCTGATAGTGGTCACCTCGTTTGGTAGCTAAACCTGGTTGCCATAGTGCAAGCTGGCTCGGTCGCTCCACGCCCCAGAAGGATCCAGCACTTCACAATGGACCTTAGCAAGGCCATCGATAATTTCATCAAGGAGGCTCATGATGATCCTGTCGAAATAGCCAAAATTTGTGCAGACCACCGGCAAAACAGGAACGACAGATATGAGGGCATACTCCTCCAACCAGAGTATCCCGGTGTACCAATTGATGAGATACTGACAGCCCGCCTGAATGATCCTGATTATCTTGATCCGCGCAACAATCTTTGCCTCTTTGCCTGGCCATCGAAAGAAGTGATAGATCTGATTGCACGTATTCAGCAGGAACTGCGAGATCTTGCTCCAAGTATGTCCCTGGGTCCTGTATAGCTGGCTTCCATTTCCACTGTCTCTGACTTGATTAGATATATGGCTCTCGCCAGCTGAATGGTTTCACATGACTGTTATTGAGTTAGCACACTCGAAACCTCCAGAGGAGTTGGCCAGACACGTAGAACAGGTGAAACCACACGCCGCGAAACTAACTGCCTTCGCCACCGAGCACCACGCCGGTCTCGATAGACCAATGCTGAGCCTGGACGATACTGCAGTGGCGCTGACGTTCCTGCATGTCGAGAGTGATCGGTACACTTACCTGCACTTGCGACGAGATCTCGCCAACATCTGTGCAGACAACGGCGTGGAAGTCTCGTCGAAGTATTACAACACGTCGTGCCATATCACCTTTGCACGATTCGCCAAAACCTCAGACTTGCAGGACAAGGAAAGCCTAGGTGCCTGGGTGCAGAAGATTCAGTCGATAAACCACTGGTTGAAAGATGAATATTGGCCGAATGGAGATCGAGGGAAGTTCTCTCCTGGATTAAGATGGATTGTCGGCGCAGGGCGGGGCATAGAAGTCAGAAAGGGTAGGCTATGGTATGGAGACGGACAGCCAGTGATTGATGAAGAATCGGGTGGGCCTTGACGTAATATGGCGGCATATTTGGATTGCGACCTCTTTCTGCTTTCAAAGCCTAAGCTCTCGGTTTCAGTTTCCTTCGAGACTATCAACCGTAGTTTAAGGAAGCAAAAAAAGAGCAGATTCTAGATATTAAATAGATCTCGTTGGGATGATATGTGGTGGTGGAAAAGAGAACCCCTGTGTTGACTCCTGAATTTGAGTCGCTCGAAATGAATCCCTGTAAGCCCTCGCGAAGAGTTTACACCTCTTTCTAACCGGCCACTCATAGTTACAGAGTACTACTAACTGGACTATACTATGTTCGTCGGGCACCTGGTGCTACCCTGTGTCGGTCCTGCTTAGTGCCGGTTTGGCGCCTGTTAAGGCGGCGGGGGTTCTGCCACTCACGAGGGCAAGATTCGGGGAGTATTACAGACTAACTGGTGTCGTGGGTATCAATTATTATAGGGACTTGACTATCTGTCCAATGGTCTCCCAGCAAACTCCTTTCCCCGTGGCAAGAATCGATAATATCCTCTTGAAATGAGCATGCAGTTTTCGACTGATTTTCCCAGTGTTCTAATCTCAACCGAGTCCAACCAGACGTCTAAATGCCGAGTTTTCGAGTATCGGCATGCTGATAACCATCTGGATACCTTTAGAAGGCTTTAGTTGATCTTGGTATTTGCCCATGGCTAGGCTCGTCGAGAACTTCCCAAAGTGCTCGGTCGGGGTAAATATACTCGGCCACAGAACTCGAATTGCCGGCTCCGATGTACGCAAAATCTTTTCATAATACGGTCGAGATGGTATGTACGGCTGAATAGCAGCATGATTGGCTTCGCTGCCAAATCCCAGATGGACTGAGCTTGTATGCAGTAGCGGATTCGCCGTCTGCATTTCTGCCGAAGCCAGCTCTGCTTCGCCCTTTATCCTGGCCTAGAACGTGGTAAAGCGATCTGGTTCTGTTGTCGTGCCTATGCCAGATACGTACACGAAATTGAACGTTTTATTATCGGGAGGTAATGTCTGAAATGCTTTGGCGGCTTTTGTAGGCTAATCTTTGGTTATTTTGACGTAATCCCTGTAGCAGAATTAGTAAATGCTCGTGTGGTTCATGAAACTAGGACATACTCTTTGCCGACTTTGGTCTGACTAATGCCTAGCGCCTAGACACAGCCTGTTGCTCCTTTCAGTTGGGCGAGGACGTCAGAATCGTAATGCGCAAAGTCCTTATGTCTGATCACATTGATGCGAGAGTTGTTGATATTTTCTGCCATCTCCATAGGTCTTCGCCTGAGAATGGAAAACTTAGTAACTTCTTTCATCCCTATCATGGCATCTAGAGCACTAGACCCGATCAATCTAGTAGCGCCGGTAAGTATTAGGTGCATGGTCAAACGCTTTGGCAATGAAGCAAGGCGTGTAGAAACTGATGTATTGCCGATGGGAGGAACCAAGATGATAGTTAACGAGTCTTTTTGAATTGTACTCGAGAATGCAGACCTATTCAATTCATTGACGTTCTGCAATTCGCAAACGTATGCTGCCAGGCTTTCAAGTATTTGGGTCTTCGTTCTGTGGAATCTAATGCTGGCCGGAGATGGGGGCATGTTAGTCTAATCCCGGGGGCTTCGTCCAAGCCTAATGCAGACATGTCGGAGTTAGGGGAAAACCCACACATTTCTATTGCCTGCATGTAGTATGAGTGACGTTTGATTAATCACTGTGTCTATGTATTGACTGCTTACTTGTCCTCAACAGACTATACCCGTGATAATCCCCCTAGAATATTCATCAGTCTGGGAAATTCGCCTGTATCTATAATATTGACCCATCGACTGATCCCTTTCAGATGATAACCATTCGCTGTGCGAGTAACTGCTGCGAAAAAGTCATCCTTCAAAACATTTTCATTTCTAATGGCCTCCCATTCTGGCTGCAATTCGCGCATGCGTTTTCGATACACTTTCCTCAGCTGAGTGGTCTCATACTCAAGCAGGTGTATCCAATAGAGCTCATTCTTGCCCTCGTTATCCAGCTGGTCGCCTTCGTCTGCTCCTGACGCCTCCGATTGTCCTACACTTTCATCGGCGTACTCCTCTCGCTTGGGTTCTCGCTCCCTATTTGGGCCTTCGAGGAAGCGGGGCAACTTCGTAGCTACCCATCGTGGCATAGCTGATACACACTCCCAGTCGATCAATGCAGTGATGTTTCCATCTTCGTCCACAAGGATATTGCTGAGAGAGAGGTCGTCGTGCCAAATGACTGTTCGTTCCGGGGGGTACTGTATTGGGGGGAAGATTCTTGGTAGCAGATTGATCAGTCTTTCAGAGAGCCCCAAAGCAAATTTGGCGTCTTTCTCGTCGTCTTCGTCTTGGGCATTTTCATGTTCTGCGACTTGGTCCTTGACAGCGAACTCCAAGTAAGCGGCCAGCCAGTCATGAGCAGAACGATACGGTCCACGAGCAATGTTGTAGTCGAAGTGGTCGCTCCAGAAGAACATGTTCGACACCATTTCGCTAGGTGTTTCTGCATGGCTACTCTCATCGCTTCCGGCCATTAGCGTCCCGATTCTAGAGAATTCGTGACGGAAAATCTGAGCTTGTAGTTCGGCTATGGACTGAACGAGCGCTACTTTCTGAAATGTCGTCATGGTCCTCCATCGCTTGTAGGCTGAGACACCAGGCATCCGCTCCATCAGAATCCATTCAAATCCAATTTCGTTGTCGTTTGAATCGTCGAAAGCTACTACATCCGGTACTGGAACTTCTGTCCTGCGACGAAGGAATCGCAAAGTTGTGACCTCGCCTCTCGTCTTAGCGTGCGGGTGAACGGGCAGCGAGACTCTCATGAGCAAGTCTCGCTGAGCGGTTTGGACCAGATAGAGCTTGTTGAATGCGCCTTCGGCAAAAAACGAGACTTCGCATTTTACATGAAGCGTTCGGCGGGATACATGCGCGATGTCCTGAGGATTGGGCTCTCGTGTCCATATTGGGCTGGAGTTGAGTCCGCTATCATCCCAAGCAAGTCCTTCTCGGGCGAGAGGAGTCATGACCGCACGTCTCTGATTGCAGCATCAATATGAGCCCTACGAGTGCAATGTGATGAACGGGTGGCGTGGTTAGTAGGATCAAGTACGGTCGGCGGGACTTCTTGCAGCAAGAGAGGGATGGGAGTTCTTGATATTCTCTATTGACATCCACTCGTCATTTTGTTGGACCGTCTTGAGATGTCTTGGCCAGATAGACCTTCGTTACAAACCGGACGGCATCGAGACTCGATCCCCGGGGCTTTCGGCATGACGACCACAGGGCTTCACAGGCTACATAGGTAGTGTAGCCGGAGTGGAAATAGTCATACAAACAGAACTTACCCCTCAGCCAATGTCAATAGAACTCGAGCAGCAGGTGTTGGCAATATCTTGTGCTTCAGTCTGCGAAAAGCTCTCCCCGCCGGGATGTTGCTGGTGGTAGCATACTTAAGTAATGCAGCGTGACAGGCGTTTGGGGACCAATCGCGCTAGGATCCATACTACAGGTGGATTACATGCACTAACAGCTTTGGGCAGCTCCCCAATGAGATTAGCGCTCTCCACCTTCATCTGTTGTTGCGTGATTAGATTCAGACGCGCATGCCCTTCCCTCTTCACAACAGGCTATCCTTGGTTTCTGACCGATCTCCGTGACATCAGATTACATAGCTACAGCGAGCGACAGCGGGCGACAGCAAGAGCCGCGTCTCACAATGCGGGTCGCTGTTATCGGCGCTGGTCCTTCGGGCTTAGTTACGTTGAAGTACTTGAAGACTGCCCACGAGTTCTTTCCAATCAAACCAATCGAGGCCAAAATCTTCGAGGCGGAAGCTGACATTGGTGGGACCTTCGCGTACCGGACATACGAAGAGGCTGAACTTGTATCTTCGAAGCAACTCACCACCTTTTCGGACTTCCGGCCTCGGAAAGATGACCCCGACTTCCTGAGTGCCACGAGGTATCTTGAGTATTTGCGGCAGTACTGCGACCGCTTTGAACTGTGGCCTGACATTGAGTTCCTATCTCCGGTCACTTCGATCCTACGCCGTGATGGTGGGGGTCATATTGTACACTATAGGAAAGACAGCAAAGAGTCGACCTGGGAATGTGATGCCATTGCTGTTTGCTCTGGGCTACACGTGTCGCCGAACATTCCGGATCTGATGGGTGTCGAGCACATCCGAAAGGTTCTCCACTCTGCTGAGTTCAAAAGTCGAGAGCAATTTGGCCAAGATACCACAGTAATGATATTGGGCACCGGCGAGACAGGCGTAGACATTGCCCATCTGGCCGTTACAGAGCCCAAAGTAAAACGAGTCGTCTTATGCCACCGCGATGGTTTCCTTGGCGCCCCAAAGGTATGATATCATCGCAAGCCTATCGGTCTAATCGTTCAGTGCTGAACGTTTACCTTAGAGAATCCCAACACCAGTCATTCTTCCCATTCTTGGACGGCAGGCAGACCCAGACTACTTAAACGTCCCAGTCGATGTTAGCCAAGCAACCCTGTTTGACTCCATGTATCTTCACCCATTGATCCGAGACCGCTTGTTTCTCTGGAGCTACTATGATATCGTCATCAAGACCGCATTGTGGTTGATTTCAGGCACATCCCACGGACAAGATCAATGGGTCGGCGGCATTTCCAAGGAAAGATTCCACGCTTCAAAAGGTGAGATACTCGCCTAATTGTACAAAGGGATCTCAAGCTCACGTTGGTGGCAGTCTTCTTCAACAAAGCTTCTACAAAAGCGCTTCCGTACATTGTCGAGCCATATCGGCCCGCGAAACCAAGTATAGTCGAACGTATTCGGCGTAGCTTGATGCAGATACCGCTCCCCAAAATACCTGCCGGTCGAGTTATCGATCTAGCTCCTTGGCCAAGCCACATAGACGCTTCCGGTGTGGTTCATTTCCGGGACAATGGTCGTATCGAGTATGAGCGTATGAAATCTGAGACAATAAAGCCAGATGTTCTCGTTCTTGCTACAGGATACACCCAGACATTTCCATTCTTTGATCAAGAGACCAAACATCCATATCCACATGCCTCTGACGCTGACGTAAGAGACATATGGAAACGAGGCGACGATACCGTCGGCTTTATCGGTTTTGTACGACCAGCCTTCGGAGCGATTCCATCTTTGGCAGAGCTGCAAGCTCAATTATTCATCATGCATCTTGTTCAGCCATCAGCGATTGCTCACCCCCTCGTCCCTGAAGATGAGCCTCATTATAGACTCCGGAGCCCACCAAATGCACGTATTACTTATGGAGTTGACCACGAGACTTATGCCTATCAATTGGCATTAGACATGGACTGCGCACCATCTTTCACTGAAGTGGTAAAAGCTGGATTTGCTGCTGGACCTCCAGGTCGCGGGACTGGCATCTGGTACAAACTGCCCATCGTCTGGGCTGCAGGCGCGCAGTTCAACGCTAAGTTCCGTCTCCGAGGCCCTTGGGCCTGGGAGGGAGCTGTTAACGTACTCGGTGTGGAGCTGTGGCCGACCATTTCCAGAAGGAGAGGTTTTCTTAGTAACTTTACATTGGCTGTTATCCCAATTGTCTCCTTGGGAATCATCAGCTTCTGGTTGTGGGTTGCTGGGCTTATCCTAGATGCTGTTGCACTTTTTTCCACAAAGCGGAGAAAGCTTTTGTAATCTTTGTCACAGTACAGTTTCGTTTGTATGACCTGTTTTTCTGTATCTTGTTTGTATGTAAGATCAATGATGCGAGGTTAGAGATACTTTTGTCAGCTTGTTGACAATTAGTCAGATAGATATACCATAATTAGTCCTAGCGGAACCAATGGTCTACCAGTACCTTGCTTCGTGGTACAACTTTGATATTCGTTGATCATGTCGAGACTTTGCCAGAGAGCAGGTGATCGTAGTAGTGAAACATATTTATTCGTTGATTAAGATACGACTGATAGTCATAGACCGGAAAACAAGACTTGGGTATCTCATCTTCTAACGTATCATTATGTAACATAAGGGTGTTTTACCTTAAGTCAAATCAAATGCCAGCCGCGAAAGATCCCGCCATAGGCGTTGTTGATGACCTCCCAGTCCTCATGGTCGCAATTCGTTTGACTGATACTCTTAGAAGCCAATCCAGCGTGTTTTTGAAGACTTGGGGACTTACACCTTTCCCAAGTCATGGGTTCTGCGAGGTCTTTCTGTGCCTCTTTCCATACTTGCGCTGCCCAACAAGTAACAAGAAGATCCATTGTTTTCTCATCCATCTGTGTTTTGAAGTTAAGCCTTGGAAGATCGTCGAGCGTGCCATCTTCCTTTCGAGAACTCTTCATCTCCACTGCCAGTAGATTTCCAGTCTCGTCTTTCCACAATAGTTCCTTGTCATGCGTCAAATGACCCAGCAGCTTCTGTTCTATTTTGAAATGTCCGCGGACTTTCCACGTAGTGCGGCCTAAACATGGCGAAATGAATACCTTTTGGAATGCTCGCCTCCGCGATGCCTTTCCTTCAACCACCATATGATTAGATGTCATACCAAAGTAGTTTGTTTTAAAATCATACAAATGATCTCGATGATGTCTAATACTGCCCTCCCCATCAGTCGCAGACAATTTGTATGTCAGCTTTTCAACCCCATATACCTTGGTCTTTGCATCACTTGGTGGGTTTGTCAGCTCGTAAAGCGCACGAGATGGTGGTATAGCGGGATATATGAGGCATCCATCAAGTATGAGAGTAGTGAGCTCTCCGGTAGGCAGAGAATGTCGCGGTTCATGGCCTGTGACCGCTTCATACGACGGTGGGTCCGGGTTTGACGAGGTAGTCATTGTAGTCTTATTACTGTCGAAGACGAGCACTGCATCCAAGTTTCTCGTGAATTTATTTGTTGTTCAATATCAGCAGTCAAGAAAGGTAGCTCAGTTGCGCTGAACTGGTGGAAACCTCGTGATTTACAAGGCAGCCTCGCAGCGTCTCGAAATGCTGGGGCGAATGGGGAGCAGTGCTAAGCCACCATGAGTTATCCACTGTGACGTAAGTCGCAGCATTGGCACTGCATGCGGCAATCCACGGCCACCGTGGCACTGATCTCGCCATGCAACGCGCACCGCGTGATAGATAGAAAGCACCAAGGGACTGCCAAGAAGTTCCACTATAGGTGTGGCCGGGTGCCGAGCTTTCGCCAACCCGACTAACCTTAATAACTAAATGCTAAGCCCCCGGTCTTCTTTTGCTGGTACAAAAACCATTCTACCAGGGTTATAGGAAGTTTAAGATGGGGAGCATGTCTGGGAGTGAAGTTGGCCTGAGCTGCATGTGTTTGATTAGGGATGTAATATATTAAATTCAAATGAGCAACAGTCCAATCAGGGTGAATGTATTTACACGTTTCTCAAAGTGTAGACATTGGCATTCGAACAGATGAAATCACAACTTGATGAGAGAAATACCGAAAATCATAATGGTTACTGCCACAGTATTACACCTTAGGTAAGAAAGGCGACGGCAAGCGAGTTGTCAGTTCTTGAATGAACTTGCAATGAGAATGTAGTCAGCTAGATTTCTTGACAGTATCTCTATAAAAATTGGAGGCTTCGTATATGCCAACAGTCGTTTTCGTTCCATCACCAGAAGATTCAAGCCATTATTTGCTGCCTGGAAGCTTTTCGAGCGTGACTCGGCCAGCACCTTCTCAATAGTCCGAGTGATGCCATCACACATTTCACGTCTACGAGGTACCTACTAGAACTTCGTGACTTTACGCCGTTAAATCCAACAGTGAGAACCCAATCCACTTAAGGCAGGCAAGTAATCAAAGAAAAATGTCGACCAGAATCAGTGAACCTCGGATCATGAAGTGGCGTCGATGAGACATTCTGTGGGGAACAAAACCTGGAGAACAAGCCGCAAATTGCCCCCTCACTAACACTAGCTCATGAGCTATTGACTTAGAGGCTTCATACCTGAATCCTGATTCGCCCTGATCACTTGCACATGCCGAGGCCCACGAGCAGGTCGAAATTGTATTTCACGCGGGGATATTTCAAAACGTACATGTGGAGTGTGATTCCTATAAGATCTTCTTCTGGAACTCCTGCTGCCTTTGCTTTCTTACTGCAACAACAAAGAACGAGAAACATGCCATCACACGGCTCATTACAAGGTGTTCTACAGTCACAGTGGACTCAATTGGTCCATGTTCATGGTGCTCACAATGTGGAATTCTTCGGTGGTCTACTTGTACAACTCATTTCGTTTTGGATACCGTCACTATTCTACATTTCTCTAGACTATGTCCTCCCTTCGTTCTCTCAGAAACACAAAATTCAACCAGCTCCAAAGCAACCGACAACCGCTGATATACGCCATTGTGCAGGCATCGTTCTCCGTAATCAGCTAATTTCAGCCGGTCTAGCCCTTCTCAACTCAAAAAGAAGTTCACCTCTTCGAATAACAGACACAATTCCTACAAGATCCGAGTTTTTACAAGAGATCATACTCTGCTGTCTGATGCGCGAGGTTCTGTTCTATTACTCACATCGACTACTGCATACACCACGTTTATATAAGACGATCCACAAGACGCACCACAAATTCATAGCACCCGTTGCTCTTGCCGCACAGTACGCTCATCCAGTCGAGCACATTGTTGCAAATACTTTGCCGATCGCGATACCTCCAATGGTTCTTCACTCGCACATCTTAACATTCTGGGGTTTCCTTGGCTTCACACTTGTTGAAACCTGCACCGTTCATTCGGGGTATGACTTTTTCCACCATGCGGCAAAACACCATGATGCACACCACGAGAAGTTCAATCTGAATTTTGGTGTTTTCGGTATATTGGATTGGCTTCATGGGACAGATGGGAGAAAAGGCAGTGGAAGACCGAAGCGGGAGTAATTAGATTTCCAATACGTAGGAATGTTAGATGTCACTTGTTTGGCCACTCTCTCTGACTAGATGTAAACAATGACTCAATGCACCTCCATGCTGTCCACAACTATACAAGTAATTGTGATTCAAGGTCTTGTCCTCCAGGATCATTGACATGTTTAGGGCAGGTCGCCTGAAAAGTTTATCGTCTGTTTCCGTGATTGATGAGGCCCTTTGGCGTATAATATGAGAGAAGACCCATAGTTGCGAATGCAACTATAAATGCTCTACCATCTTCAAGCGATACTTTTTGCTGAAAACCGGTGCCCACATTCTTTCCCAAAAGAACCCAATCTCTGGGTTTGTAGCGTTTGCCTCGGCGAATGCCGCCAGAGCTCTTTCATACACTTCTTTCGGCCGACTTCTGATGGTTTCTCTTGTCACCGCAAATGTACCACCGTGCATGGCCCGGATGGCAGGTGGGTGACAGCTCCCCAAGATATGTTGCCAAAACTCTCCAGGCGTATACGTTGCCAGCTGTAGAGAAGCTATTTGACTAGCAGTAATCCATATCGCCTCTTTTGGGTCGGTCCAGTTGATCTTATTCCAGTCGGCGATGTCATGCCAAAGATCAGGGTTGAAAGGCGTCACGTCATACGCAGGTACACCAAGCGCATTATCCACCATTTGTTCCGTCGTGTTTACGTAGGGCGCAACGAGGTCGAACGGATCAGCCTGGCTAAATATCATGATGTCGTCAAGCGCATCATAATTGCGCACAATATGGCATAGGTGTGTTTGCCCTTCACGGCCTTGATTTGGCAGTTCGATGTAGGAGCGGAATGAAGAGTGTGGCACTGTATCGTTGGCCTCGGGAATACCACCTTTTGAGTAAATGTAGGTGTTTTCTGCGACCGGCTGCCAGGGATCAAGCGACTCTTTGTACCTGGCAACCACAATTCCCAGATGCAATGGTGTCTGAGGTACCAGAGGTGATAAGAAATTGCATATATCGTCCATTGGCAGATTGTGGATGGTCTGTTAGGCTTCAAGGCAAGAATGTTTGGATCATTGAACGAAAGCGATCGTTGATATAGCCGACGAAAAGACGTAGTACGTGTGCTTAAATATTTATAGGCCCTTTCGGACGTGAATTACTGTTATGGAGCGTGCCTCACGTCAGATATTTAGTGGATCTGCACAGTCTGAACTACATATCTCCAACCTGCTTTTGCCTTATTGGGCACGCCATGGGAAGTAAATAGGTACTTCATTTTACGTAGTGGGTTTCATAACGCCGACATTTTATGAGGCTTGTCTGACACTGGCAGATTTGGTCAAAATACGGGCAGAGCAGATTAGATCTTAACAAGTGATCTTAGCTCCTCATGTAACGCATAATGCGGTCGACATCTTCGGCGAGACACCGAAATGAAAAACCTGATGAATGTCAGGCATATGACGGCCCATAGCTACTCCTACTGTGTCATTCACTACCGGCCTAGCTATGTCTCTTACAAGGACTGCCTACGTCACAGAGCAAGATCTTCGAGGTATGGGAGTTAGAATAACTTGTCATTACTGTATCTAGATCCAATTTCCACGGAGCACCGCACAACGCAAACATATTACTCAAGATAGAGTCCAGGGCAGCTCTAACGCGCCGTCTTCTAGACCACAAACGCATTGCACTTTACTCGAGCCAGTAAAGCGGAAGAACACTGTCCAACTCTTCTTGTGTCCATGCCATGTATCGACCTTGAAGAAGGCATTCGTCATACGAATTTGCCCACGCCGACCCTCGAAGAACTTCGTCAGTTCCTGCAACACGCTTGGTGTATAAATGCGCTGGGGTCCGTATGTCACGGCCAGTATCTCCACACCTTGCTCCTCTTCTTTCCAAGGATATCCCACAGGTTGAATATGATTCGGCCCAATCTGATGAGCGGTCTCGGTCACGTTAATGGGGAAGCGGTTCTCCTCGCTGACGTTGAGCAGCCACGGCGTGTCCTGATCTTCATACTGATACAACACTGTGAGCGTTTTAACTACGCCGAATGCTGGGTCGGGTTGTAGGATCATTGCCAATGTCTGCATATCAAATGTCACAGTCTGCGACGCCGTGGTCATAGCCTGGATGTCGGGAGTCACGACGACGCCACCCCATGTTGCGCCAAGAATACTAAGCCGTGCAGGCCCAGCCTTGGAGTCATAGCGAGGTGGTGGCCCGCGGAGCACAGGGGGCTTCGTGTTGAGCGGCAGCTGTGGCGGCTTCTCATCGGACAAATCTTCCCAACCTTCCAACGTCATGATCTAAGCGTGAACTAATGAACTTGATGACTGAATGCCGTGGAGAGTGATTACTGTAATTGAATTTGAAACAGGGAAAAGCGACAACTTGCAGGTGATGAGGTGAGCTTACGCGCGAGTGCCTTGTGCGGGGTGGGCGTGCATCTTGTTTCGTAAGTCTGAGATAAACGCCACCAACTGCGGCCCCCTTGCTGCCTGCTCAGCTATGTGCGCGCCGAGATCCTCCGCCGGCCTTAGCAACTGCATGCTTTCCCTAATGGAGTCATCTTCGGAGCTAACTGGTAACTGCAATACATGATGGCAATCGAGTACCCACCATTCGCGTTTGGTATTCACGTCCAGGAGCCGTAGTCACATATTAGTAGAAGTCCATACTCGCACTTTCACACAATCAACAAGTACAGAACGTCAACACCTGTACTATGGCAATCTCCCACCAGTGGACCCAAGCCCCCTCTCACACATTGGAGTGCCATGGTACCAGTCCAGGTACTCCCTAGCCTGAAAGACGTCACCGATTTAGTTGCCTGACGTATCCTGCCTAGATGTGAATATTCTATTTAATAGAGGCACTCGGCGGTGGGTTGAACTTCATCCCGATGGCACGGTCTGGAAAGTTGACGATAAGACCTGGCCTGGCGAGGTGGCAGCCATGAAGGTGGCAGCCCAAGCACCAGGCTTTCAGGTACCACGCCTTCTGGCTACTAAGACAATTACTGTCCACGACTCACCCAAGGAGTGCATCATGATGAATCATGTTCCTGGACGACCGTTGTCGGAGGTATGGTCTGGTTTGGACAACACCGAAAAGCGTAAGATGGCACAACGCCTGGGCAAAGTGCTCCGAGCTATTCGTGAAGTGCCCCAGCCGCCGAAACAAGCTGGACGGATTATGTCCTGTGATAGGGGGTCTATCCGCCTATTTGTTCTGATGACTATCGGGTGTATATGAAGCGGTCCTATTGACGATGAGGGTTCCCTTAATGACTGGCTTGTCTCTCGGTTGAGATGTGCACTGCTAGCTATATGTGCAGCGTTCGAAGAGACACTTAATATGAAGATATACAGTATCGTATTCACCTATGGAGATTTTAATTTCAGCAATATCGTGGTTAATGATGGGGACGATTTGGTTGTGCTTGGTTGGGGTTATGCTGGATGGCTTCCTGAGTGAGTTGAATATGCTCGGTTCCTTACATTCAACCACCGGGAAACCGACATTGCAAACTATGCTGACGAGATATTTGAAAAGCCTTACTTAAGCGAACTGGTGAACTGAATGGCTTTGAGCTATTATCTCTTTTGATAGAAAGGTAGCTGCAAGAAACTGCCCTTCTTGACGGCCTGGCTGTTATGAATGAAAACAGAGATAAATAGCACGACTTCCTGAAATAGTCTTCTAGTCATGCTTCGAAGCCAAGAGACCAATAATTGCATACACTCGAAGCCCTACCTGCGTCTAGAACAAGAATCTGTGCAAAATCTAGATGCGAAGTTTAGCTGGGTCGAATATCTGTCAGAATTTCGAACCCCATATGGATATATTCGACTCATTCTTTCATTTATATCCGGCACTATCTTAACTTCTAATGCCAACTTCCTAGCCATGATAGTGAACGTCTCGGTTACAACACCGTCAAAACTAATCTATTAAGCTGACAGTCTAACTTTACACTCCCATCGCCATAATACTAACCAAGATTTCTAGTATACTGCTGCTCCTGCACATACTGGAGCAGTGATACTTGTCATGTGGTGCAAATCTTCGGACTACTTCCGCGAACGTGGACTACATTCCGCTGCTTCTGCCGTTATCAGTCTCATTGGCTATGTCATCCTTGCAACGATATCAACTACCAATACGGCGGTACTATATTTTGCTATGTTTCTGTGTACCATGGGCGTGAGTCATGAAAGAGCAATGAATTATCTCTACCAAACAACTAATTGTGATACAGGCGTATCCAAGTACACCAATTGGCTCTGCCTGGACAGTTTCCAACATCCCTAATCTCAACGCCCGAGCTCTTACCTCCGGCTTATATATTTCAGTCGGGAATTGCGGGGGACTTCTGTCAAGTAACATCTATTTCAATTGGGAGGCGCCCAGGTATATAACCAGTCTCAGGGTCAACATCGCAATGTGCGCGCTGATGATCTCACTCAATGTTGCTTACTCGATGTGGATGAGATGGGAGAACCGCCGCAGAGACAAGCTGCTTGATACCCAAGAAGGTAGTGTCTACGTGACTGAGGGAGTTCAGAGCACCCGCAATCCACGCTTCAGATTCCAGGTCTAGCTGACAGGGCTGTTGCTTATGTTGCTCAATGACTCAGCATTCTGTGAGCTCAATTGATTTGGCCATCTTTCTCTTTCCAATCATGCTCAACGAATTTCGTCCATTCGTTATAATATCAGCTACCATGTAGGTGTTTCCATGGTGTTAAAGCCCGTGGATGACAGGCTGCAGAGAAATGACTGATATTGATTTGCAAGTTAGTCAGTCTTCATCCCGCAACAACTTTTGAAGCATGTTACACATCTTATTATCACGATTATAGTAATACAAGTTCTCGAAGCGAAAACTTTCAGAATCGCCAGGGCGACTTCAACAAGTGAATGTAAAACCATAAACTATCATTTTGATTCGAAGCTATTTTCTTTCACGTAAGCTAGAAGTCCTATTCATCTATCACCCCGCATGTCAAACGTAAACAAGCCAGACTTTTCATGAGAAGCAATTTTGGGAAGTCATACCCATCCACGATCAGTCACTCGGCGAGAATTTCACGCCACTGCCCGAAATCAGGCGTTCCCACAGTCCCGAACCACGACAATGGCGGGGTATGCAAAGTCTCTGTCTATATCAGGATAGCCCTCTTCATGCCACTTGTCCAGCCAAATGTTGTACGGCTGGGTGTCTCGAACAGAGTCTGAGGCACGATCATCTTCATGCAAAGACGTCAGGCTCAACTTCTTAGCAATTGGCAAACCGTTTGAATCATAGTCTGTCTTTCCCTTTTGTTGCCAGTATACACCGGCCCAGAGGGGAACCTGCTCATCCTTCGAGTATTCGAAAAGAGTGTCGAAGAAAACCCGCTTCTTATCAACCTCGATTAATTCCCCATAAAATAGAGTATTGAGAACGAGGTCGGCCTCGTCTGGAGGAATCAAGCGGACTTTGAATTTCGTAATAAATTCTCTGAGTTCTCGGGGAAACACTGGAGGTTGTGTGTGTTCTTCGGCACATTCCTCAAAGACGTCTCCTATGCCTCTGCAAATGATGATATCGTTATCAAAGTCAATCGGGGCATCTCCAAAACCTGCTCGCTGCGTGACACCACCAGTGCCCTCCTCCTGGGTCTGAAACTGGGGACCTTTGTTCTTCCACTTAAGGTCCCATTCTTCGTTTTCAGACCCAGTTTCTTGCAGAGTGAACTGGATGTCAAACACTCGTCCACATACGGACTGCGGAACTCCATGGAGCGGCATGTTCAGTTAGACTGTTGAGTGCCTTCCTACTTCCGGGGAGTCTCACTCAAATGTGACACTTGTCTCTTGACTGGTAATATGTGAAGCTCGAGAGATTATGCAAGTGTCATGTTAGACAACCAAGAGTTCGACGGATTGTGTTGATTATTTATACTTGCAAGATAAATAATCTTCCTCGAGTAATCGTTATAGATGCTTTTGACTGCCCGCTTTAGATAAGTCCACGTCGGCAATCATAATTTTCATGTGTTTTCATTTCACCCAAGGAGCGGATGTTACTGTGAAAATATGTAGAACACATCATATTCGTCATGTTGGCATGTCTTATCTGATGAAGTCAAACTGAGTAATGTGATCCTGTGATCCTTCCCCGCGCGAGTAAAGTCAGACACTCGTTCTCCGAGAGCGCTATACGCTCACTTGTGTCACCGCTGTTCGAGACATCAAGTGTGCCACGTAGGCAACCAGAGGTGAATCATGATATCGAGATACACAATGGTAGTCACTAAATAAATTCCGTCATGCTCGTCATTAAAGGGACAGATAACGTAACATTCGTCACTAGCAAGACAAATTCCACGCGGGTTTACTCCCTAGCATTGTTATTTCAATAGAGGATTATGTATGCCTTTCTCGATGGGATACGGAGGTCTCGCTTCTCCGCCATAGTGGAATACATTCAATGCACAGAATCTGGATAGAAAGGGATTCTCTTCGGTATCTGACTTGCTTGCCATTCCCGGACTCAAAACAACTAAGCCCAAAAGGTTCATCGATTATGTTGTGATACCGAACTCAAAATGCCATCAAAAATGCCACATCGCAGCTCTTGCTTTTTAATAGTCTCAATTCTTCACATTTCTCTCCTTCCGAAATTTTCACCCTTATCCAAATTCCACCTTGCGTATTACGAAGGGAAACCAAGGGGAATTTGGGCGCCATGGAAATAGATTTCACAATCCTGTAAGTCCTAAGACAATATCGGCATTATCATTGCTTGATAGGACCACAGATAGCGCAATGACCGTATTTCCAGAGCGAGGAATATCTAAATCTACTTTGGACACCATTCCCAAAGTCTTGAGCTTTTGATTACTTTGGTTCTATAATTCAAGGTCTTTATTCTCATCTTGACAAATGCCCCTTCTCTGAAAAAGCATCTTCTAACAGTTGTTTTCCTTGTCTCACCGAGCAACCGGGGCTGAATTCCGCTTTCGGCTTATAATTCCGAGAAAATTCTGCCTCCGTGTCTTACAGGAAGGGCCACGGATGTAGACGACTCATCAGCGATATTGCAAAAGAAATAGTTGCTAGTTGAGTAAATCGGCTAGGCGCCTTCAAAGTCAATAATCTCGCACATGTATTGATCATACTCTTCTCTGCAAAGTTCAAATCTAAGGTGTTATGCAGACTGAACACAGTTCTGGTATTTGGTTCAGCTAATTGAATGGTACTATCAAGTACAACCGTAAAATATACAGATTCTATCTTCGTTGATCTGTTCAGTAGCTGCGCGGGAGCTCCAACACCCTTTCGCTGATATAGTTGAGGATCATCTCTCTGCTGACGGGTGCTATCCTGGGAACCAAGCACTCTCTAAACCATCGCTCAACATCGTACTCCATGGCGTATCCCATACCACCATGTGTCAGCACTGCCCTCTCGCAGGCGGTAAAGGCGGCTTCAGCTGCCAAATACTTCGCGCTATTGCATGCAATGCCCACTGCACTTTGAGTAATGGACTTGTCGGCAGATCGAGTGTTGACATCGTATAGACGAGCAGCATGATAAGTTGCCAACTTCGCCGCTTCTAATCGCATATATGCATCAGCCAGTGGGTGAGCAACTCCTTGATTCATACCAATAGGCCGCTTGAATACTACACGATCTCGAGCGTAGTTGCTTGCCTTAGCTAGCGCAGCGTACCCAAGGCCGAGGGCTTCTCCTGCTAGTAGACACCTCTCGGCGTTCATGCCGTGAAGCACAATCTTGAAACCTTGGCCCTGCTCTCCAATGAGTGAGTCGGCTGGGATATGATATTTGTCGAAAAAGACTTCGTTTGCGTCTACCGCGCGTCCTCCCATTTTCTTAATCTTTCGCATATCCAGCCCAGACTGATTGCGATCTAAGTCGATGTAAAACAAGGACAACCCCTCAGTAGGCTTCTTCACTTGGTCGAGCGGTGTTGTGCGGGCTAGCAAGATCATCTTCGATGCAACCTGTGCACACGTAATCCAAATCTTCTGTCCTGTAATGTTGTATGAACCATCGTCGAGTTTCTCGGCAGAAGTAGACAGGCGTAACGTATCAAGCCCAGCATTTGGCTCCGTGATGCCAAAGCAGACGCGCCACTGGCCTGTCACGATCTTCGGGATCGTCTTGAGCTGTTCTTCCGAGCCGAATCGTGCGAGGGGCTGCGTTGCATACACGTTTGCGTGGATAGCCTGGGCGCCAGCCATGCCGGCGCCTGACTCTGTGATGGTCTGCATCATCATTGTCGCCTCCGATATCCCCAACCCTGAGCCCCCGAACACCTCGGGAAGTGCAATGCCCAGCCAGCCATCTTGTGCAAGCGCCGTGTGGAATTCTTTTGGGTCCGTTTCCGCTTGGTCGTGCTCCTGCCAGTATGTGTTTGGGAACTGCAAGCAGAGCGCATTGATTGCTTCTCGAACTGTGAGCTGATTCTCGGTGAAGCCTGTTTTCTCCATGATCCTTCTACAGCTTGTTGTCGAGAAGGCATTTCTTGGAGCCACGGGGCCGCTGGCGGCACCGAAGACGAGTGGGCGGCATAGTCGAACAAGTCGTGATGCCGAAGGCCGGAACATGGTTGGCAACTGGGGTTGATTTGCCAAACTTGAGATATCAAGACGCCTTGTCCCCAGCATGTGATTATTGCCGGCGAATCTCTTTTACACTGACGTAGGTTCAGCGCCAAACCCAGGTCTAGGAGTCTCGTTCGCCCCGCTGCACTGCGGGGCGAGGGGCTCGGAGCTTGCAGCCGAAGAAGCTGGGAACCCGGTAGGCCTAACTTGGGTGCACGGATGACGGCGCCCGTTCTACGTTGTGAACACAAAATACGTCGATCCTCGAAAAAGTCTAAATGATACCGAGAGACTCGATATAATGGTAGTGACTTTTTTTGAAGATTGGGAACTCTCGAGTCTTCCTTGATCATGCTACGACGGAGTGCATCGCGAACAATATCTAGTTTGCCGTCTTCACCTTCAAACACCTTACGACAAGAGAGCAGCTTTCGAGCAATGCCGACAAGTCATTTTGTATTATTCTTTCTTCTAGATTTGAGGACATTTCTACACAGGCACAAACTCTTACACCATTCGTCGACCTCATGCTACTCAGCCAAGCATCATGTGAGACTCGGTGCAATATCCTGTATCCCTAGCCCTAGAAATCAGGTCAGACATCACAAGTCCTAAGTAGAATTCATCTCAGATATATCCTGTCCCAGCGTCTCCTAGTCTGCACGCTCCGTGCCAATGTAGTAGCCGGTTTGGAGTGCCTAAAATAGCTCATACTTTCCAACGAGCGACATACCAGAAAGGCTCATATTCAGTAATGGGTCAACTATGGATATTCTTAGTGTGGCCAGCCCCTCGAAAGGTTCGCTTGCTGCGGTGATGACATTCTCTTGCATCGGCCCCTCGCCAACCCAGTCTCTCCCGCAGGAGCTTGTTGTCACCTCTGGATTGTAATAACCGTGCTTAAAGGAGATGTTCTGGCTGTTATGGTGGACGGGAGACTCTCAAGAATTGCTTGTCTAGGCGGCTGTTTAAGATGGGCGCAGAAGGATTCTGGTGGAGCTTTTTGCGCCTTGCCGGCATTGTCAAGAGCTAGTGCCTCCATGTCTCAAGGACCATATTACGGACTTGCACGCGAATATAGACATTATTTAATCTGACACCCTTGGTATAAAAGAGCCCATATCAAGCAAGAAGCAACCTTCACTGTATAACGTATAACGAAAAGGGGATGCTATTGGCTGCGTCCTTTTGCTTTCATCCACACTATAAGTTTCCGTGATGAAGTACCTGTTTTCCGCCCTCCGAAATGCCTCGGGAGTTGCATCCGAAGAGCCCCTCATTGTCTATCCAACAATTCCGACGCTAAATTCCGCCGAATTTGATCCCCTTCATCGCAGAACGTCATTTCATTGATGTCAAATCTGAATGACTTGCCTGGGTGCCGACGCACCGCCTTGCTCGTCCTGCAGGTTGTCGGCTGTCTGTGAGCTAATTGCTTACCGTATCCTCTAATTAGATTTTCCGTTTATACAGGAAGATGTTGGAACTGTAGAGATCAATGGGCAGGCAACATCGGGGCAGATTCAATCATGTTGCGACCTACTACTCTACGCCCCGGCCGGTGCTATCAGCGCTTACAATTCCCAATTCGCGGTGCCTTTTCTTGCACTTCTGTGAGCCAATCTGTATTTAACGCCGCACAGCAACTGCTAGATTCATTCGCCGACCAAACCATCGTCAGGCGACAGGTCCTCGATGCGAATCAGCTCCAGAAGCTCAGTCTCACTCTCGGCCGAGCGCAGCTCAACGATATCGACATCTCCGAGAAGCCTCCTCCTATAGGGACCCCGGTGCCGCCAGGATGGCATTTGGTGTACTTCACACCAAATGGGCTGGAGTCCGAGTTGGGACTCGACGGGACGGATCGCTCTTTTAACGCGCCATCTCCCTTCACACGGCGGATGTGGGCTGGAGGCCGTATGAAATGGCCAAAAGCTGGAAGTACCAGCAATGAGCAGCAGGCTCTACTGAGAGTTGGGGACGAGGTCGAGGAGCGTACACGATTAAAAGCTGCAACCGCGAAGAAAAGCAGAAGTGCGGGTGAGATGGTGCTCGTTGAGGTGGAGAAGGAATTCTGGGGTCCAAGAGGCCTGAGCGTCGTGGATCAAAGGTAAGAGCTCTTTGCTTCTGACTACCTGCTATGTGAGGCTCATTGATACGCAGATCCTGGATATTCCGTCCTGAGATCACCCCGGCATCTATAGCAAACGCCAATCCTCGAGCTTCCACTTCTCAGGGTCCCTCCCTTGTTCTGGATACACCGATTGGAGAAAATGGTGAGTTATTATAGAAGCTGGCATGAAATGCAACATATTCAAGGGCTCTGTTTTCGTGTGTTTACTAACATGTGTCCTCAAGCGTTTCCTAGTCGCCGCTTTCGTTGGTCTCCGGTAGGGCTCTTCCGCTTCTCGGCTCTCACGTTCAACGGGCATATGATCCATTATAACGAGGATTGGACTAGGCGAGTTGAAGGGCACCCAGCTGAAGTTGTACATGGCCCGCTAAACTTGATCAATATCCTAGATTATTGGAGAGATGTACATGGTAAAGGAGCAATGCCCAACGAAATCAAGTATAGGGCTACTTCGCCATTATATGCCGGAGACTCCTATCAGATCATGACGCACAACGCCAGTGATGCACACGATGGAAGAACCTGGAATATTGCTGCCGAGAAAGACGGCATAACATGCTTTTCAGGTAGTGTATTCAGCCAAAGCCTGTAATAAATAGTCGTCTTGAGTCAAGACATTTGCATGTAGAAAGGAAATGTGTGAGCGGTTGACTTAACATGATTTCACATCTCAGCCATGGCGTTAATATATGAATTATCAATCCTGTCTCTCATGTCTTTCGTATCGATACCACACTTCGAGTTTCTCATCGGCCTCGGCCTTGAATGGGTTTCTAGGCTGGGTAAAATGGACATCTCGTCGCTAGACTCACGGCAGTCGCTCGAGGAGTAACGCCTCTTCGTGGGATTCTTGAGACGGTGATTCAACTATTGTATTGTTGACTGCGTCTGATACTTCCTTAGTATCTTAGAGATTATTTTACGACACGGTTGGCTGGACATGTGGTATATGAGCCAACGCTGTACTGGTACCGACTGTGAGGGTTAGAACGGTGTATATTAATTTCTACATTTGACTGGCTTCAATTAGCGCAATTAACGCCGTCGCAGATATGCCTTTTTCAAACCTTAATTTTTAAATAACCCAATAATCCGGTAAGAGTACTGCTCACATGGCGGCGAAGTTGTATCCCAGAACATTGCAGGCGTGATGAATCTTGCTGTCTCGCTCATTGGGGTTGATTCATAATAGCTTTTGGAGGCTTCTTTCAACCTAGACGTGCGGGGCAAGGTTACCGTGTGCTAATATACAGACGCCTTAACTATTGTAGAAACTGCACAGAAGGCGCTGTTACTGAGTGACATAGTAAATGAGAGTGGTGGCCCGGATGCTGGCTACCTTCCCGACTTATGCTAGGCGGGCAGGCCGATAAGTCAGGTTTCCGAGTCGGCGCCACGGAATGAGCTCTCTCAATTTGGCAGGTCAGCGCCGCAAGCCCAGAAACAGCAGTTCGGCCGGCCGTCGATCTCAGTGCCCAGACATTTCCCCCAGCCAATTTCCCGCGCCTCCCTTGCCTTAGACCAACATCTTGCCGTGATGTGGCCCTGTCGCTTTGCAAGCATTGAACCCACTTGATTTCCCCGTTGCGCTTTTACGGTTGGCTGTTTGGGCGCCCGAGCGTAGTACGATCGGGTAGCGAAAGTCTTATCTTGCTTTCAGTGGCTACGCCACCCTAGCTGCACTTCACAATGCGGTCCTCAAGACAAGCTTATGCGTTGGAACATGGCGAGCGGCAGATGAAGATGTTCGCGCTCATGCAGACCCACCAGGCCCACCACCCACTCGAGAGGGATTCGAGAGTCACAACATGTTCCTAGATACAATGTGACCCTTGATGGCCTTAACGAATCGACGGCCCTGGAAGGTGGAAATCCACTATTGATCTTCGTCCAGGAGCAAGGGTCATGGGAGCATCCAGCGTGTGGGCATCTGAAAACCCTGGATTGGAAGCTCGTTTTCGCGCCACCAGGCTCCCCAGAGTCAGGGAAGCTCGTTTATAAATAAGAGATTGTCTCTGCCCAGATACGGTTGGTAGGATGATCTGCTCTCCACGGTCTTTCTCTCCGTCGTTCCGGTGCTCCTCAGATCCAGTGGCAGTCAATTGGCAATGATGAAGTCCTTAGCGCTCGCCAGTGTGCTTCTTGCGCACAGGGCAGCCGCTGTTCATCTATCTGGCGGTGTTCAGATGGTCCCTCCTCCTTTGGAAGATGACCGAGTTGGGATTCAGAAGCGGTCCACGGGCCAGGCTACTTTCCAGCAACTGATTGACCACGATCACCCGGAACTTGGAACATTCTCCCAACAATTCTGGTGGAGTGATGAGTTCTACGCGGGTCCCGGGTCGCCGGTTGTCTTCTTCACTCCCGGAGAGGCAGCAGCCGCGCCGTACACAGGATACCTCACCAACAGGACGATCACAGGACTATTTGCGCAAGCCATTGGGGGTGCGGTCGTGATCATGGAGCATAGATACTACGGAACCTCCTCTCCGTATACAGTGCTCACCTCCGCCAACCTGTCTCTCCTTAACCTACCACAGTCAATTGCCGACACAACATACTTCGCAAACAATGTCCAGCTGCCGTTTGACACGAATGGCTCCAGCAATGCCGGCAGCGCTCCGTGGGTCTTCTCTGGTGGCAGCTATAGCGGTGCACTTTCGGCCTGGGTTGAATCAGTTGATCCGGGTACTTTCTGGGCATACCACGCTTCCAGCGCTGTGGTGGAGGCTGTTGGCGATTTCGTAGGTTGACTTTGCAGATGTCGTAACACCTTCATGATCAAGTCTTAACATATCGCAGTGGGAATATTTCCACCCAGTCCAGCTGGGCATGCCCAAGAACTGTAGTACCGATGTATCCAAGGTTATCAACTATGTCGATAAGATCCTGAAGGGTGATGATGCAGCGGCAAAACAGAGTCTCAAGGAGAAGTTTGGCCTGGGTGGTATCGTGCATGATGACGATTTTGCTAGGTGCGCTTGTCAATATCGCAAGCAGTTGTGATATCTCCGTCTGCCAGCGAGCAATGATTAATGGATTCCAGTGCACTCGAAAACGGCCCCTGGAACTGGCAAGGAAACTCATTCACCAGCGGATATTCCGGTTTCTACCAATGGTGCGACTATGTTGAGAATGCAGGCCCAGCTTTCCCGAACAACACTGTCCCTGGGGAAGAAGGTGTTGGCTTATGCAAAGCCCTGAACGGATATGCCAAGTGGACAAAAGAGATCAGTAAGTAAATCGCCATTCATCCTATTCCGGTGGTACCATGCCGACTACTTCACAAATATTACCTTGAAGAATAAGTTACTAACTTTAAGACCGTAGTGCTTCCCGGCTGTAAGTCGAGGCTATAGGTGAAATGATGAGATTGAATTAATGTTTTCTAGATTGTGCCGGCTATGGTTATGATGAATGGACGGACGATCTTGAGGTTGGGTGCTTCGACACCTACAACGCTTCTAGCCCAATCTTCACCGACATCAGGCTTGATAACAATGTGAACCGACAGTGGAACTGGTTCCTCTGCAATGAACCGTAATGAATCTACAGATTTAGAGCTGAAGAATTTGCGCTGATGACCCGCTTAGCTTCAAATACTGGCAGAATGGCGCGCCTGCCGATCGCCCCAGCATTGTTTCCCGCCTTGTCAATAACGCGTACTGGGAGAGACAATGCAGCCTCTTCTTCCCCGAAGACACCTACGGCATCGCCCAAGGCAAGGATGTCGACGACGTTAACGCGTATACCGGCGGGTGGTTCCACACAAACACGACACGCCTGATCTGGACTAATGGTCAATTTGACCCCTGGCTTGACGCAACGGTCTCGTCCAGTTTCCGACCAGGCGGGCCGTTTGAAGGCACTCCTGAGGCCCCGGTCCAGGTGATTCCGAAGGGCATTCATTGTAGCGATCTGCTTGCTCGCAACGGCGCAGCAAATGCAGGTGTGCAACAGGTCATTGATAATGAGATAGCTGTCATCAAGGGTTGGGTAGATGAATATTATGACTTGAAAGGGAGGCGGTAAGACTCTCGGAGGCACAGTAATAATATAGGGCTATCTGTGTAATAGGAAGCTTGGAGATCACCAATACAGTCATGGCTACTTCTGTGGCTGAAGTGATATCCTACTATCAAAGGGCACACTAGCCATGATAATGACCCAGCAAAATCTCTAATACGTTCGTCAATTCAACATTGTCTTCGAGCAATGTTGCCATCAGTACCCACCTTTCTATATCGAATCGCTTGCTATATGTTGACAGCTATCATGATGCCAAACAATACAGCAAATACTGTAGCGGTAGGAAAACTAGGATAGTATTTGCATATTGCGCCTCGTGTCCCCGGTGGACGATATCCATTGGAGTCCGGTGCGATCGTGTGGACACAAGTTGGTATAGCAATGTCGATCGTCTTTACCGGAATTGTGATATGGTCATTGGTGACGCCTGTCACTGTCACATGCTTTGTCGAGATGAAAAAGTATGCTGAGTATGATGTTGGGGCAGGCGTTTCTCTGGCTATCAAATTCAAAGCGCGTAGCCCAGCGGCTGTAGATGTTGGCTACAACATCCTAAGCAATAGTCAATGTGTGGAGAAAGTGTCTAGAGCCTATTATGGTAGAGGGTCAGATTAGTTGAGAAGAAAGATGATTATCGCTATACTAATTCAAAGTGCCTTTGAGTTTTAAATGTTCGAAGCGTAGCAATTCTGATTAATTTGCATCCCCTGAGGCTATCGTACGCTGCCCTTAGCCATAGCCACAGCAGGAGACATGACCCTGTCACAAAGTCCGAATCATCCAATCATGATGCCCCTATGATCCGCGCTATAGGTCTGAAATAGTTGGTGAATTATCGGCATTCCTCGCTTGTCCTATCAAGTGCAATGAACATCTGGTATCATATTCAAAGTACTGCCTCCAACTCCGCCTCAGGCCGCGAGTTGATGGTAATCTCAACCCACTCATTGACTGGCTCTACTCCACCAGCGGGAGCCCAGCCAAGAAAACACACCCTCTTGTATACCATGCTCTGTCCATGTTCATTCAAACGCGTTTCCATATCTGCCGTGACAACGGCATCCCGTATACGGACCTCATCGGGCGGCATTGCCAGATCATCAAACGCCAAACCCGGTTCGCCAACTTTGATGTTTTGCTCTATCTCAATCACACGACGACCAATTCCCCTCATAAGGCGAGAATCAAAGAGATTTTCTCGTCTCGCAGAAAGAGCCATCATCGTTCGCAGAGCAGCTATCCTGATACCGAGAACTCGACACCTAATGACAACGAAATACAGGAGTGGCAAGAAGCCCATCTCGAGAATAAACTTTGGCCGACGAGGAGGATCAATCTTCGCTGGCTTTGATGCAAGTATCTTGTGAGCCAGCTCAATAAGTTCTTGGAAGCCGGCAGTATGTCTGTCATAACCCATCTCGGTGGGGTCCAGGCATACGTCGAGCCATATTTTGGTAACTAGATATTTCATTTCGAGGATCAAAACATCTGCTGTCGTGTCGTGTGACGGGCTTTGTGTAATTTTCAGGTGATCAAAGCTTTGACGCCACGATATTAATGATGTTGTTAAGCTGTTTTGCACTAGGAAGATTGAAGGCGGAGGCGTAATGCCATTTATGATGTCAAGGCGGTGATAGTCCACACTGCGAATGAAGCGCATGCTTCGACTTAATAATGAGTCCAGAGCTAGACGACAGTCCTCCAATCCTGCAAATGATGGTGGGATGTCAGAACTGACATCTCCAAGACAAGGAAATGTGTCGGCAGTGCGACCGAAAAAGAACGGAAATATGCTCAGTCGTAGGAATACTGGTAAGAGGTGTGTTCTGGCCCAGCTTGACCTGGAGGTAGATGCGTTGAGAATCATCACACCGTGTCTGCAGTGGTCAATGGCAGCGTCTTTATTGTTCTGAAGGATCTCAATGCAGATAAAAAGTATACATGCGAATATTACGACCGTTTCATCTTGGTAAGAAGACCGCAATTGTTTTAGTGCCATGTTATAATGGTTGATTGCGAATTGACCTTTGGTAGAATTACTCAGATTCAGCTGGAGGTCTTCGCTGTGTTCAAAAAGCGAGCTGATAGCAACAGCAGCATGGCGTATGGCAGCTTCATTTTGGCCCACTTGTGACACAAGTTGGGTCCTGATGCTCTAGCATTAACAGTCCTGCGACAAAGCGGGTTGGAGTCTGACGTACCAGAAATAAGGACTGGAATGACCGGACAAAGTCGGTGCGACAACCTGGCGGAAGAAGTCTAACGCTCTGCCCTCCTGGTCATCGATGCGAACACTAGGTTGAGCAACAACTGGCCCAGTGAGAAGCTCGTTCCAGGAATAGATCCCATGGGGTCTCGGAGGATAGCCATCGCATTTGCGACCGGTACTAGTGCAACGGTGGCAGCAAGGTTTGCCTTCGTCACATTTCACCTTGCGAATTCTGGGCCAACATTAGCCAGACGATCCTAACTACGCCTTGGGACCGCTGCACGTACTTGCAGGTGAAGCAGCCCGTTCGGACTTTCTGATTGCCTTTTCTCGCCATTACCTGCTGCTAGCAGGGACTTGCAAGAGTGGTGGACTCTGATGCAAGAGAGAGAGATGTGGGCTTTTCCGTGCCGCGATGTCACGAATTGAGAACGGAGTCGTGTCTGGGTAATTTTGATGAGCGTGTGTGGCAGTGATGACGATGAACTTCGCGACACAGGCCTTTCCGCACACGGACCGACCCCCTGACTTGATAGGAAGCGGGGCCAAACCGAGCGAGCCAATGATACAGAGCTGAAGCCTCAAGATGTCGGCGGGAGCAGGGTTAGGGTTCACTGTGTACTTCAGCCCCAGATATCTTGTGAGGCAATCTCCAAGGTGATTCTTTCAATTTCTTCACGTCGTTCGCTCATTCTACATACATCATCACCCATGAATTTCAGTTCCAGGAGTCACAGCCACGAGACATCGCCGGACATGCCAGGCAGTAAATCAAAACCGAAGAACCCTAGTGGTGAAGTGACAAACATATCCTGACTACTGCCATCGATCATGCCAGTCTGCCCTATAGCCCCGCGTTCCCGTTCACGACACGCCAACTCGCTCTGCCAAGCTGTTCTTATAGCGGTGAATTTCCTCATACCGAGCGACAGTGCTGCATCCTCTCCTTCATCCGGTGAACGCAGGGCAGCTGCAGTCCTGAGTTGCTCGATGGTGTCGATTATCCTGTCTAGCGTTGATGCTGGATCCACCACATCTCGTGCTGCCCCTGGATCCCAAGCTGAATCTTTTGTCATGGCAAGCTTAAGAAGACACACTGTGACATAAAAGAGCTGGCAAAAGCTCCCGCATGGCATGCTCGAATACATTTCCGCCGGAAGCGAGAAGAATCTGTCGAACCATGATTTGATTGACGTCATACAACGCTGATAGATCTCGTACCGCTTGAAGTCTGGCTCATGACTTGATACCGATGAGTTGTTGAGAGTTGACTCGTGTATAAGGAGCATCGTGAAATGATAAAGGCCGTGAATCATTGCTGTTGTCAAATTGTTAGCATAGATACGGAGCTACAGAACAAAGACATGCTCACGGCTGCTCTCAATAGGTAAGTCGGCTCCGTTGGCCACCCCAGCAATATCGTCCAGACGTGAGCGCAATGCGTCCACGTACAAAGGAGGGATCGCGACATTACGACCGCTTCGCAAGGAAGAACGGACCTGATTCACTACCAATTGCATTTTGATCTGAGATACCAGGATTTTGTCCTGTGGCACATCACCGTGCTCATCAAGATAAGTGAGATATTCGTCAAGATGTTTTGTCCAACGAAGTCCATCAGCTGACTTGAAGCTGTAGCATACACTACTCGATAGGTCAATAACTCAGCATAAAGATTGTCCATTAGCCAAGCATGAGCAAAAGGAGGCACGAACACTGATGTTATAATGAATGTGCCCAAAACGGCTCTCCTATCCTCTAGCGTGCGTTCTTTTCGGGTGAGTGGTTGTGGCACACCCGGGATTTGAATCTGCGGAGGAAATGGGGGTGGATTCTCCGACGGAGAAGCCTGTAGCTCTAGGTCCCAGACTAGCACCACAGCGAGCTGTGCTACCAAACAAGCAAAGTTTCTGTCCATTGGAAATAAATGAACCCTACAGATTTATTAGAGTGTCTTTCAGGAAGCGAGTCGATATTTTGATACTAACCAGTTGACAAAGGTAAGCATTCCCAGCAGCAGATCAAGGCTTCTCTCACTCTGGGCAACGACCCTCTGTACAATGATATTCTTTGCCTGATTACAAAGCAAGTGTCTCTGCTTAACAGATGTTGATGCAACGCTCATGATGTTCAACCACAGAAAGGGATAAGTCTGTCGTAGCTGTAGAGATGTCATCTCTGGTGGGATGTAAACATAGGGAGGAAATGTCTGTTGAACAAGTCAGAGTGTCTGAACGCATCGTTTCAGCCATGCTATTATGTTAATGTGAATGAGCTTACCATCATCTTCTCTCGAAATTTTTGCAAAGATTCCTCAGCCCCTATTATGGAGGGCTCGTAACTATTTGTCTCAGCCGACAAACCCGGGGTAAGAGTTGTGGAAGATGGAGATGGATCCACAGCCATATGGGAATTCTCAATCACGGAAGTATCACCGCTTGCATCCTCTTGGTCGAACCCTACAGGATTGTTGTGGCCTCTTAGGAGAGACACGAGGTCATCAAGCTTCTCTTCGAGCCTCGCAGACCGAGAGGCAACATTTTGACGCCTTGGGCCACGCCGTTGCGCTATTGCTGATGGTACGCAGCTTTTGTTAAGCCGTTGGCACCTAGTTGCTTGTCAGTCATTAGGTCGTAGTACTGCATATATAAACAATAGAAAAGGCGTCAGAATAGGATCGCAAACCTCTCACAAGTCGCGCTGCCCTCTCGAGGAACACATTTGCATTTAATTCGAGCACAATTGGTACAAGCTTTGCCGCCTTGATTACGCGGCAATGCGGAAGGATGCTGTTCAATCAGATCCATAGGTGAGCACACAAGAAGCGTTCCGGCTCCGTGTGCTGCACTGGATCGGTGTCGTAATCTACTGGCTTGAGCTAGTTC